GTGTGCGTGCGTGCGTGCGTGTGTGTGTGATTTTGGGTGCGTGCGTGCGTGCGTGCGTGCGTGCGTGCGTACGTGTATATATGGTTGCACGAGAGTTACCGCCGGTCTATAATCTTGATTCCCCCTTTCATCCAGGACTTCGTGCGGTCTTCGTGAAACGCGAAAATGTCCGACCACTTTGTACGAAATCACCTGATTTTAAACGCGGTTAAGATTTTAGCAAAGGATCCTGTTTACCCTCAATGCCTCAATGTCACGTCACTTCATGAAGCAATCGTTGATTGTGGCGGAAACTACTAACACACAGCTTCCGAACCGCTTGGCAAAGGTCGGCTCGAACGATTCTATTATGCTAGTCCCTGCGAATGCCACACTGCGGCCTTTCTGCGGCGGTGTCTTTGCAGTGCCGTGCCAGATTACAATAATACCCTGCGGGGACGCTCGTCTCTGCATGTCGACTCGCGTCTACTCCTCCTTAATGGACAAAGAAGCTGCAATGTGCGGCCCTGCTGTGTCGTGTGCGTTTGTAGTGATGTGCTGCTACTCATGAGAGCACACTCGCCTCTCTTATGCAGTGCATCGCATTAATTTCTTGTTAGTGCGCAAACGAGCGCGCGCTTTTAAACGTCTTGCAAACGTCTTGTTAAACGTCTAGACGGCGAGAAAAAGAGAGAGATCGAATGCGGCTTGTAGCTGGTCGCGATCGCGCAGACCAGGCCGATAATTGCAGTAAAGTGCGCGCGGGGCAAACGGGCCGAAGATCGTGGTGTTTAGCTGGGCTGTTGCTTCTAGTTGCGGGGCGCGGTGGCAGAGCGGTCGCGCGAGCACGGAACAATGCAGACGTGATTGCTGTTGACTGAATGGTCGCTCTGTGCATGGCCGTAGCGGCGGCGGCGGCAGCGGCATCACGCAGACTAGTGCTCTCGCGATAGCACCAGGAGCAGCAGCAGCAGCAGCACCAGAAGCAGCAGCAGCAGCAGCAGCAGCAGTAGCAGTAGCAGTAGCAGTAGTATCAGCAGCAGTAGTAGCAGTAGCAGCAGCACCACCAGCAGCAGCGACAACAGCAACAGCAGCAGTAGTAGTAGTAACAGCAGCAGCAGCAGTAGTAGTAGTAGTAGTGGTAGCGGTAGCGGTAGCGGTAGCGGTAGCGGTAGCGGTAGCGGCTAGCGGTAGCAGCAGTAGTAGCGGCAGCAGTGGCGGCAGCAGCAGCAGCAGCAGCACAACCACCACCACCACCACCAGCAGCAGCAGCAGCAGCAGCAGCACAACCACCACCACCACCAGCAGCAGCAGCAGCAGCACGAGATTAGACAGAGAGATAGGATAGGCGAGGGGAGAGGGGGGAGGGAGATAGAGAGAAGCGGCGAGAGTGAGAGAGAAAGGAAAGTCTGAGAGGGGGGAGAGAGAAGTAACGAGAGAGAGCGAAGACAGAAAGAGAGGCAGAGATCAGAGAGAGAGCACGGGAGAGAGAAGGAGATAGAGAGGAAGAGAGAGGAGAGAGAGAGTAAAGAGAGAGAGAGACGAGAGAGAGAGAGAGAGGAGAGAGAGAGAGAGAGCGCGGAGAGAGAGAGAAGAGAAGAGAGAGAGAAGAAGATGAGGGGCGAAGATAGACACAGAGAGATAGAAGAGCGCGAGGAGAGAGAGCGCCGAGAGAGAACGAGAGAGAGACGAGAGGAGAGAGAGAGAGAGAGACGATGAGATACGGAGAGAGAGAGAGGAGCAGAGAGGAGAACGAGAGAGAGCGAGACGAGCAACGAGAGAGAGCAGAGAGCAGAGAGGAGATGGAGAGAGAGGAGGAGAGATGAGAGTATGGAGAGCAACGGAGAGGAGAGCAGAGATGAGAGAGGATGACGAGAGAGAGAGAGAAAGGCAGAAAGAGAGAAAGAGGACAGAGAGAGAGGAGAGGAGAAGGAGATCGAGAACGAGAAGGGGAGAGAGAGAGAGAGAGAGAGGGCGAGAAAGGAGAGAGAGAGAAGAGATAGGGGAGGCAGAGAAACGAGAGAGACGAAGAGAGCAGAGAGAGAGAAAGGCAGAACTGAGAGCTGACTAGCGCTGCGGTACCGTGTCTTAGCGTTCTAATCGTAGCTCTAATTAAAAAGCGTCCGACAAAGCACCCGGTGTGTAAGAGGATTTGTCTTGCGTGGCGGCGGCTTTAAGAAAACGACGTCGGCGTCGTCGCCTACGATTTGCCTTTACGAGACAGAGAGTGATCCCCGTGTTACGTTATACGTGCATGTTAGTCATGTCATGGTGTTGGGCGAGCATGGAGCACGTCTGTGTTGTAACTGCCCCGCACGCAAAACACGTGCTCAGTCTGTTTGTTGTGATCTCCATGAGCGAAGTAACTCACATAGCTCCTGTAGTAGTTTCATCTCACTACGGCGCTTGTGTTAGAGCTCTCACCTATTGCAACTCAAGCTCTCACCAACAAGCCCTGTCTGTAGTTCACGTCCGACTGTCAATTGGACGTCTTTCCTTTACAACATCAGCATGCTAGCCTACCCTCATCTTGTCTAATGTTGCAGTGCCACCTACAAGCTGTGGACGTGTTTCCCTGTCCCCGTCAGCACCGGAATTATAACGCTGCCCACGTGTATTCTTCTATCAAGACCTGTGATCCCCTTTCCCCTTGCGACATCAACAGTCTAACATCGGTGCCATCTGTGTGTGTACTGCCAGTGCCACCTGTAATCAATTGCCCTACTTGCAGTCTAACGTAGCGTCATCTCTGTATATTTAGTATACAGTATATTACTATATTATATAGTTGTCACTAGTATTGCGTCTCAGTATTATGACGCACAACGGTAGGCTTCTGTCTCTAACCACCCACAATTGCTCGCCTACTGATACGATTCAACAGCTAACTCATCTGTAACTTGCCTCTCTGTGCCTACACGACCGCATTCAACAGTTCTACAGGTGTATT